TTAACTTGCAACGACACAGATATTAAATCAAATTAAATGTGGACACTTTATGAGCACAAAAACAGAAAAGAAAGGTTGGAGATTGATTTTCTTTAATTTATAGGTTTTATTATATAGGATTTATATAACAATAATAACAATCATATCCAGGCATGTGATTTTTGTGGTATAAAAACACTTGTGGAGTAAAAACAGGGATGTGAAGGGGGAGAGCTCTGGTAGAAATAGCATCAACAGATCAGAAAGCTTCTGATAAAAGAAGGTTCATGAGTACAGAAAAAATTCTGAGTCATCTTCATCATTGCTAACATTACATTCAAAGTGGACATGTGCAGAGGAGGGAATGGGAATATACTGGCGCCAAAGATGTTGAATATGGAGCTGTCAGAGAGGAGGAAAAGACCTCAGAGAAGATTCATGAATGTAGTTTAGGGGGGCATGCAGCAGGAGATGGAGGTAGATGATCCGCTGTGGTGAACAGGAGCAGCTTAAAGAAGGAGATGCTGATGTGCTCTTTAACAGTACAAGTAGTGCTTAGAAAACATCTATAAATAATAGCTACATACAATAAACTTTCAATACTCTGAATTTAAACTATTTAAACTGTAAGTACAGCTCCACCTCACAGCATTCTTTTTCAAATATGAGGATTTCCAGCTGGTGTTCATGAAGCTTATCGAGCAGACAGGGTTTTTTTTGGACTGTTTTTCAGATATTTTACAAATAATGCTGGTATTGAATGTTCAAATTTTAAATCTGAAAATGTTTGCTGGACAGATCGTTGATGTTTTGCACCAAAGAGAAAAGAAAAGTTAAGCAGTTATTTAAATTTTCTTTTCGGATAAATAAATCCTCAGTTTAAGTTCTTTAGCATGCCTTAAAGAACAGGTTGAAGTCTTTCACAAAGCTGCTGAACACCAAATACACAATGTGATGGATAATTTCAGTCAACACTGAGAGATTGAAACGGCATTAAGGTGTAAAAACCTCTGAGGCATTTCAAACATGCTACAATGTATTAGGATAATTTCTCTGTTGTCGTTTTCTGTACATCAAAAAACCAACAAGAGCAGTAACAAGAAGCAAAGCAGAAACTAACAGACCAACTTTCAGTATAAAAGATCCATCCTCCTTCCCTGCTGCCTTCTTGCCT